ACGAGATATTATTATAAAGAATGAATGTATCAATTAGTGCAATTTTTTATACCCTTAAAGAACTTATGCGTCATCTTCTATACAAGACATTTACCCCAAAGGACCTCTGCACCAACCACTATATGAGATATTATTATAAAGAATGAATGTATCAATTAGTGCAATTTTTTATACCCTTAAAGAACTTATGCGTCATCTTCTATACAAGACATTTACCCCAAAGGACCTCTGCACCAACCACTATATGATATATTATTATAAAGAATGAATATATCAATTAGTGCAATTTTTTATACCCTTAAAGAACTTATGCATCATCTTCTATACAAGACATTTACCCCAAAGGACCTCTGCACCAACCACTATACGAGATATTATTATAAAGAATGAATATATCAATCACTGTACAAAATATACCCCCAGTAAGTTGATGTACCAACCATAAATAAGATTGTTACAATAACCAATGTATATACCCCATTGAATTAATGTGTCACATAAAACTAGGTTTCTACGCATCCATCATATAACATATAAATTTACTCTAAGAAGTCAGTGCACACACACACTTATTTTCTAGCAATATTATTTCTTTAATATTTCAGACTGAGAGTTTCCATGTATGACAAGGGAAAAGTTTACTGTTTATTTTGAACAAAAACTGCATCGCTTTTCAGTTTACTTTAAATTGAAATTTCTTATGCTTCTCATGTTGAAATGCTGAACACTTTACAAAATGTTTCAAGACTCTCTGTCAAATATTTAATTCAGATGTCCTTCCTCACTTGTGTCAAGTGGAAAGTAGAGGCATCTTTAGTGTCCTAAAAGGTAAATATCTGGAAGTAACCCACTTTCTGTATGTAAACTTTTAGTTACTATGAGAAATGTTTCTGTTATTTTTAGCTGAAACTGAGCTACTTCTGTAATTCAATTTCTTGAAATTACCATGTAAATAAACTATAATTCAAAAAGCCCAACATGTATTACAGACATAGTGACTTTAATGAAATTTCTAACATGTCTATACTTAAAAACTTACCGATTTACTCTTGTTAATATTTACATAATTTATACCCTGAGGGATAGTTAGGAAAAGCATTGCTTCGAAAGCATCCTCCCCATCATTGGTTATATTAACATTCAACTCCAGTTTCTCTTTGCTTCCAATCAGAAATTGGTCCATGTTCCTGATGAAGAGTAAGTTTAATTACTGCACAGAACATCAAATCCAATTGAATGTAAAAAGCCTTAAATACATACTTGAATCCAATTCATCAGCACTAACAAGTTTTATCATACAAAAACAGAATACTGAATTCCATTTATTTTAAGTCTCCCTATAACTGATACCCTTTAATCTTCCCAACCAAGAAACAAACAATACCCCTTGAATTAACCCTTATAAAAAAATGTGACCAAAGCAATTGGTGATGAAGTTTGCTATAGAAAGCTTCTGTAATGGCTGATGTTCCATTTAGTCAGAATTGTCAGTGAATTAATTACTACATGAGTTTGATTTAGCTCCATGGGTTGTTGTACTAAATTAGAAGTTAAATGAGTTAGAAAATCAGACAGCTAGTCAAAGATGTCCATTTACTAAATATATATTACCCCCCCCAATTAGTTAATAAATATCATAGAGAGACATAAACAATTTTGTTACTATATCAAACTCTCTTCAGTGACTTAACCAGTTTGTAATAGAGTTGCATTGAGTCAAGTTATTAAAAAGCTAGGCTATGTTTCTGTAGTACTTTATGTTTTACTGCTACTGAAATCCCATTCAGAGAGAATGGGTCACCGTTTGTGCCACTTGAAATCATAGTTCAAAAGCACCAGCCCTATGTACCTTGTAAAGACATGGCAAGAATTTAACTTAACTAAATAACTAGCCCACACCCAGTAAGGTGAGTTAACCTACTAAGTTAGCCAAAGCTGTAATTATTAAAACAAATGAGGCTGAATTAGAAGTGTTTAGGGTTGGTTGTGTTATTAGCTTAAAACAAATTAAGGGAGTTAACCTACTCAATTAGCCAAAACTGTAATTATTAACAACTTAGGCTTAACTACAAGTATTTACGATTGTGTTACAAGTTTACAGCCAGTTAAGTCAGTTAGTCAGAGTTGTTAATAAATTTTTACATGATACAAGCTTAACTTATGCATTTATGGTATATTTTTTGTATACTGGACTCAATAAAGGATTATGATTATTTCACCTGAGATTAACTGTTTGAAATATATGCAGAAACTATAAATTAAAATTCAATCCAGGATTGAGGTGGACTCCAGAAACTTTCGAGAAAGTAGCACACATAATTCAAATCATTGTAATTTGTGTAATAAATTATTGATTTTTTTACCAGTTCCTGATGAAAGTCTATTGTCTGACAATACTTAATTGTATTGTATTGATGATAATATTTAAGGTAGAGCTGTGGCACCTTCAAACCATAAAAACTTGAAACATTGTTATTAGTATATCTCTAAATCATGTTGATTGCATACCTTGCATTTCCTCTGAAAATTATACAGATCAATTTGTATGTAGAAACTTCTGTAGTACAGGAATATGTTATATGTTTTCCACCACTTTTGTTAAAAAGAAAAAGAAATTAAATTTTCCAAATTATGTTGTTTTTCAGAGTTCTCCAGTTGAACACAGGGCCTTTAAGTGAGTAATGAACCTTATTTATTAAGTTAGAGGATGTTTTGGTCAAGGTCAAAACTGTTTGTCCAATTCTATTGCAGGCTTAATAACATTATTTTTAATTAGTGAACCGAGTTATTCTTGTCGGCAAACCAGATGACAATTGCAAATGGACTCACCCTTGATCTCCACTGTCTATTGGCCAACTGATCTGATAAGAACCAATCACTGCTTTCTTTATTAGAAACTCAAGGGTTTAATGGCATATTTAAGATAGGGTTGGGGCTTGACAGCCAATACTATCACGGATTTACACAGAGTTACATAAGAGTTAATACAGTTTAGATATAAAATTTTAAGAGGGATTATGAGACCTTTCATTCATAAGATTATGCAGAGAATTTGTGCTGTATGTTCAGTTGCTTGTTTTTTATGTTTTGTAGAAACCTGTCAGTTTCTTTTGTTATTTTATTTATGTTCCTTAACTTTCACTTTAGGCTGGAAGCCCTTATGCTTCCTAAGTGTTCTTCATTTCAGCAAGTCAGAAGTCATTTATTTCACTTTTATTTTAACGTTAACGTACTTGCAGTGAAGTAACTGTAGTGAGTAAACATTGTATTGTATTATTTTAATGTTACAAAGTGAATAGTGTGTTTGAAGAAAGTTGAAACTTTATGAGTTAGTTTTAGCATTAACGTAACACTTGAACATTAGGTTTAAAATTGTCTTGAAGTTAACACAATTTAAGTAGATTTAGTGTTCATTATGTGTTTAACTTAACTTTGAGTTTTTCTTTTAATTCCTAATCAACAGTCTAGTTTAAATTACAAGAGGGGAACATACTGAAATGACAAAAGTCTATTCAATGAAGTTTTTATCTCACTGTTCAACATATACGCTCGTTAATCACTTGCCCTTGAGCTTTATTCTTTTGTAGCATATTGTTTTTTGTAATGTAACTTGTAAAAGTGGTATCAAATACTTACTTTGAGTAAATCTGTATCTGGTCTCATTGGGAAATATACAACAAATGCCAGATCTGAGAACCTCCAGTTATTAGCAGGCCTAACTCCTCTGATTTTGTTGGTTATCCTTGAGATACCACACTCCAAGTATTATAATAATTATTTGTATTAGTAAAACATAATTAACACTTATTAATACACTTATTTATAAGTTAACTACATAATCAGAAAAAAATATCAAAAATACTAATAATGTTTAAACAAAATGAGAGAATATACACTATACTTACGGAATTATGTTGATTTTGAGATCTGGTATACAAACATTATCTTTCCCACAGTTTTTCTGGAAATTAACCTGAAAAGTTTACTGAACAGATTAATTTAAAGTCTTTAAACACTTCTTGTGGTTTCTGATTTCTTAGTCTCTTAAGAAATGAGAAATCAATTAAACTGATTATTTAATAATTTTACCACGACTCTACAAGCTTCAAATAAAAGTTATCATTTTTGGTGAATGCATAGTTAAAAGTACAGACTTGGTTACTATATACAAGAGAAAATAAATTATATTATGAATAAATATATATTTTTTAAAGAAATATATACTTATAAAAGCAACATGTAAAAATGAATGTACTGCAAGACCACTGGTGTATTTGAACTGAATCCCCTTCTTCTTGATTAATGCCAATGTAAAGGTATTATATTACATAACAATAATATTCCTTGAATTTCTTTGGATAAAAAGAATGAAACCACTAAGAATCACAAAGAAATACTTAGGATTAAAATCAAAACGTGAAAGAAGTCAACAATTTGTCTAGGAAAAGAGATGCAGCCAAAACAAGCAACTAACCCGGAAGAAGCGCAAAGATGCCTACAGAAAGAAAGAATACTTTGTTACATTGCTAGTGTAAGAAAAATTTCATCACGGATTGAATCTTTTACTGGTGACTGAAGTAAAGTGACTACATCATTTTAGAATAAGAAACAGTAACTTTGCTCAGCTTTTGTGTAACATGAAAAACCTTGAAACATTTTTCATGGCAATTTGGAATGTTCTATTTTGAAGAATAATGAAATATTGTTGACTCTGTAAGTCAGTTCAACACTCAAATTACTAACTTGTCTTTACACCATTTACTATTGTGGAGATTCATATGATATCTCATATTCAATAATTTTGTGTTTTTGGCTGTTGCAACATTTGGTGCAAAAAAAGTAAAAACAACTGGTGACAAACAATTGATGAAATCCTTCATTTTCTGTGCAAAATACAAAGGGAATTCTAGTAATGATTGGTAGAATAAGTTTTTCTGTTTATATTGTTTTGTGTGACTCGTTTGCTTCTAGGGTCCCTGTAACCAACAAATTAATGAGCCCACAAATAATTTGGTGCATAAGTAGTTTATAATTATTTTTTTAAATCCAAATGGTTACACTGACAATCATATTACATGTAGTAGCGATAGGTAACATCTCAGAAGGCCTTTGAAAAAACAAGTTTAGTGAAATGAACATTAAAATTACAATAAGAATGTGAATGTAACTAAGAAACTATGTATGCAATTCAGTTACTGATTTTCTTTCCTCTTTATACAAGTAACTATGAATCAATGGGTTCAAATGTTGTTTGTGATGTTTTAGAAAGGTAGCTACAGAAATGTCTGTTTTCCTCTTTTTTTACTCTAGTTGAAATGCAAACATGGATTGTATTAATCGAGTTTATTCAGAGTTAAATATAGTACTTTACTTAATACAATAACTTTTATAAAGGTTATTTAATTGTACCATTTCACCCATCTTGGAACACATCTGAGAGCAAAAGAAACTGAGACCAGTGGAAGAGTTCAGGATTAAAGCTAGCACTGTAATAAACAAAAGCAGCTCTCAGACACTGAGCAAAAACAACCATAAGCAAAGAAAGACAATTTGTGAGTGGTATGCAAATGAACCATCCACACAAACTGCATAACTGTCAGTAATATTGGCATACAATGGCAGGAATATGAGGAACCATCAATGGTGAGAATTCATCAACAATTTTAACCAGCATGCTACAGGCAAGCCTCCGATGAAGGCAAACAAACTGACAAAGCCATAATAGCACAACTGTCAGCAAAGAAATCTAGCTTATGGTGTGATAGTAGAATTTATGTGAGATCCACTAACTTATGCACAATAAGTCATTTGGAACATAGGAAAGTGGAGTATTATGGGTGACATATAAAATATGCAAATACGTAAAGGATATTCGGAAATTGTGAGTCACAAGTCTTGTTAATAAAATGAGTTCAAACTCAATAAGGAAAAGCATTCTGTATTTCAGAGATAAGTCTATTTGATTTTAATGTTATACTAGGTGCAGTATTAAGATTTTTGTTAAGTAAGGTAAAGTTACAGATAAGTGGTACAAAAAAACAGTTTTGTAATTGGAAAACATTTGAGAAGGGTTCATACAAGTGATTTTTCCACTTGGTAGTAAGTATGTGATTATCTCTATATTTATCAAATACGTTAAAAATTCAATCATATGCTTGAAACGAGCTACAGTGGTTCCAAAACACTACTAGTATTTTGTGAAGTACAGATTTGTTTCAAATATGTATTCTTTACAGTGTTGAATGAATTTTTGTTCAAAATATTTGAATATCAAGTAACCTAAAATGGTTATGGAAAGTCCAAAACCCTGTTTACCTGTACTGTAATGACGGAGTCCGTAAAGCAAGTAACAGTTTTTGTGTCCTGTACACTAAAGGCTAAGAAATTTTAGCCATGTATTCTAAACATTACACAGGTGAAACAATACTACTCAAGTGTTTTATGTTCTATGTTAAACAACCAGTGACTATGTATTTTAAACAATGCACAGGTGAAACAATACTACTCAGTATTTTATGTCTTATACACTCTAAAGGTTACAAATTGTTAACTGTGTATTCTAAATACCAAGTATATAAGTGTTCTTATGTTCTACCACACAAGTTGCAAAGATAAAAAAAAAATATTAACTGTTTATCTGTATTCCACAAACAGTGTAATCAAAAAATCTTTACTAATTTATTTCATACATACTGTATAAATGTTAAATAATCTCTATTTACCTATACTCTTTAACAAACTGCATGTGAAAAATCTTTGTTTTTTTTAATATCCTTCTGACTTTAAAAATCAAACAAATATTTGCTCTTTACATGTATTATTAAGATAATACAAAGTTCTTATTTTTGTCTCCAGTTATTAAATGATGTGAAAGAATTACACCTTTAAGCTAAATTTCAGGAGTGTAGAAAAACTTACCTGGCTAGTTACAGGGTATTTCTGAGTCTGGTTTAGTACTGGCTGCAACAATCTTCTTTCGTTATTAGTTTCTTTTAGATCCAAGTACACATCAGCAGTGATTGGAGCCAATTTGTCTCTCACTACATCCTGTTAGCATATTTAAAAAAATCTCTGTATAAATGATTTACAATTAGATGAAATGAAATTAAGAAATTGAAAATATTTTTGGAAAAGACGTGTGATCTTTTGTCGAGCACTAAACTCATCATAGTTTTCAAATAAAAAATTAATATTAAATATTAATAAAATACATATTTTATTATATTCCTCTTTGTAATAACTGATAAAAAAAGACCTCAAATTCTTATTTTTTTTCTATCAGTAAGTTAAACCTTTAAACACGTCTCATGATATCACCTTTTGTTTAAGTTAACTGAAATTATCCAAATCACACTATAACTACATTACTCAAAGCAATATCATCAAATAAAATAGTTACACCTCATCAAATCATCAACCTACTAGGGTGTATGTGTATACGCTCTTGCAGTACAGGGAATGAATCTGCAGGTTAACTTCGACAGTCTTCTCACTTGTGCCTTCATCTGTTAAAAAGAACATTCTAGGGCCATGTTGATGATTTGCATCCAGTTTGGTGGTGTACAAAAAAACTGTGAATAAATGGTCAAGGCTGTGATGTTATGGTTTTTCTGTTGATTTGTTTTTAATTTTTCCATTTCACTAGTTATCAGTATATTTCTTTTAAACATCTAGTGATTATTTAATCTATCATTTTCCAGCAGTTTGTTACACATTTATATCACAAAAACGTTTTAAGTATTATCTAGAAAAAACACAACAACATTCCGATATAGACAAAATACTATTATTAAGTAACTTTGTATTAATTTTGTAATGGCATCACCTTTTGAGAAATATTAAGATGTTATAAACTTCTGAAAACAGAAACAAACTAGGAACAAAAAGAGTACAAATTACCACTAAATTAATATCCATACACATTATGGGATTTCACTAATGCAGATCTACAAGGTAACAGACAGACAGATAGTTCAAACCCAGATTATTAATACCCAATAAGTTGTGGGGATTAGAGGACTACAGAATTAATACTTAGAAAAAAAAAGGAAAACACTTTCATGCTCTTGTCATTAATATCTCTACACTGGGATTATAGTACTTCAAATCTAGTTAGTAATGAAAATAAAAAAGATTAAACCTTATAAATGATAGGATCTGGCTTCTTGTTTTTAATTTTTTTTTATTAAGTTATAAATACAATTGTTAAGTTGTGACACACAATTTTCTTAAAGAACAAGTAATAAAGTGTACAAACCAATATTATCTGGAAGCCTGGTTCCGTTGTATTCAAAACAAACAGTCATAACTACACTGAAAATACAACAAAAAAAAGTTAAAACCTTCACAAACTTGTAATTAAATTTCATGTTTTCTTCATAAAACAAACATGATTTGAAAATCTACTTATGGAAGTCTTAGCATTTTAGATAAAGAGTACTTATTGTGTCATCATAAGTAGTAATTAGCTATTTCAATCAAATACATTTCAGTTCATGTCCTCATACTTAGATGTCTGATTTATGCAAAAATGCTGTAGAAATAGAGTATAAGATGCAAAATGTTTAAGCAGCAAAACTTTGTTTCATCTTTCAAAATACACAGTATCAAATTATAAGCAAAGTAGCAAGTGGTACCATCTTTTAAAATATACAACAATACACAACATTGGACTTTTGATTACTGATAAACTTTATCATTTGGCAACATAATTTTTTTTTTGAGAAAACAATACCACCTAACAAACACTACAATGTGCCATGACTTTTAATACAACAACCACTCTTGATAACTGAACTTATAAGACATTCTCATAAGATTGATATAATATTTTTTGATATCCAAGAGGCCAACTTACCAGGAGACTTTAGTGTCATCTTTTAGGGTACACAATTTCTCTTTCATATCAATGGTTTCTCGGTCAAACATCACTTGGGTTGTAACATTGACCACAGGTCGTGATCTACGAAGAAACATACTTAGTGTAAAGTGTTGAATATTCCTGTAGACAACCATAACCAATACTTTTAACTGAGAAACTGCTGTGTCTAAAGTCAGAAAATTAACTTACTGTCAGAGTAGGGCATTGGTTGGCCCTGTGGTAGAGCTCTAAATTTTGTATGAAACACAAAAGAGTGTGAAACACTACAGGATATATATATATATGAAAAGGAGAGGTTTATGTTAAACACTAACCTCTTTGTGAAATAACACAATTTTCAGATGTATCTTGAGTACAAATATTTTTGTAACAAAGCTAATATTTTGTGTACAACAGACTTCTATATTTTAGTAAAAGCTTGTGACATTTCATGTAGATACACAGAGTAAATTCAAAATTATAGTCAAAATATCAATCCATGCTTGTTTCTCAGTAAGTAGATGTCCATCTCACCCTGTTGTACCCAATCCTCCTTCCCATTTAAACCTTCCTTTTGTTTGGCAGCAAGTCAGTGTCCATTCCATCCTGTTGTAACATATCTTTAAAGCTTCTTCTACTTAGTATAACAGCTGTCTTTAATTAGTCTTTCATTGAAATTCTACTCTCTGTAGCCCTTATTATTATTTTTCATTACTATTATTTAAACTTCCACATTAGAAACAAATTTCAGCTTTCGGTATTGTTTCTGGAGATGCTACACAATGTGTCAATCTGAATTATTTTTATAACATATTTACACATTCATATATTTACAAGTTCTGCTATTTTGGACTATATGCCAGAGATGTAGGATGTTGAAACAATCTTCTTAAGGACAAATTCTATCAGAAATAAACTTAGCTTCAGTAGCAAACTGATCAGATTCTTTTAAAATAGAGACCATACTTTTCTTGGGTTCAATATGAGTCATTGAAGTTATATTAATTTTTTCTAGAAACTAAAGTTAAAAAAAAAGACTTTGCTAGTCCAAGATAATATCATGCCAATTCATAACAATAGTTTTGAGTATTTTTTTATTGAAATTAAATTAACTTTCAAAACAATAGGAACTGTATATTGCAAGAGACTTGAACACATGTATTTGTGTTTTGCATAATGATTATCTTAAAATCTTCAGAGTTTCATGAGATAATTCTTACCTAAAAAACACAGCTCTATCAGATTCATAGGCACCCACAAGAAGATCTAAAGTGAAAAAAACAAAAACTATGGTTATAAACAATGGAATCAACATAAATGTGTGATAAACTCAAGAAATTAAAATAAAGTTTTAATTCATGTATTTGTAAAATGTCTGTCATCAGCTAACAGGAAACTAAATCATGAATTGCTAACTGAAATTTATTCAAAGAAAGAACTTTTAAATCAGTGATATATGTTAAAATGTCTAGAATGTTTGAAATACATAAAAAAATCGATATTCACTCATTCAACTTCACACTGAATGACAGCAGGTTAAGTACAGTGTTAAAATACACAAAATGAGAAAAAAAAAGGTGTAAAACTTTTTAGAGAATTTTCATGTTCAGGAGATAATTAAATAATTAATTAATAGGTTATTAAAATATTCATGTAGGCTATGCCAATTTATACATTTGTATTGTTGTTTGGTCAAAGGGAGGATTGACATCACAAGATTGAAATGGCTTAAATGACTAGAACCTTCTTGAAGTTTAGAAAATCATCTGAGCTGTATAAAACATCAAACAGGCTAGTATAAATGATGATTGAATATTGAATTAGTGAGTTTATTAGTCAGTTCATCAGCTTCTGTTAGTTCAGTTTTGTAAATAGTGAATTGGTGTTTCAATAAAGTACTACAAAAATGAGAAATTGAGCAACGTAAGAGAAAAAATTAGCAAGTACAATTGTTTTATTAGTGCTTACTTTGAATTTAGGCCAATCATTGAACACTACTGAAGTTGATTTTTTGAATTTGTAGTCAAAGAAATAAAATGCTTTCATTATAATTAAGCAGATAGGACTTTGCAGTCTTTTATTTACTGAGTAATCCCAAAATACGTGCCCAACAAAAGAAATTGTTTAATACAATAATATCTACCAAGAAAGTTCTATAAATTCTATACCTTCATTCTGAATGGAATACAATAATCACTACCTAGTAACCAATGTTAATATGTACTATGCTTTCAAAATACAAGTGGAAAATTGTGCTCACATCAGCAATGATCAATAAATACATTATTAATAATAGAAATACAATTTTCAAAGGAATATAGCCAATGAATTGAAAACTGACCTATATGTACAAAAGTTAATGTTCTGTTTCATACTATACTCTCTTCCTCAGAAAATTACTATTTTCACCTGGATAACTGTCACTGTTTAATATACACATTATAGCATGGGCTCCCCATCTTTTTTTTCAAGGCTCCTCACGACACTAGACTGAGGACTAACACACAATGAATCTATACAAACGAGGCATCTTGTTTGCATTGTAAACAATGTTTTAAAAGGATGAAATTTAGAAATATCAGTCATTTGGGAGAAAATATTTTTTATGTGCTATGGTCTCCCTAAATCATATTGTGGGCATTTATAGGTCCCAGGTTCACTGTTTGAGAACCTCTGCTTTGTACCACCTTTTCCACTAAAATTCATTTCTCACTTAGAAAGGATTCATCTTTCAATACCTAGATTACTTTCTCTTCCTTGGTAAAAAACAGTGCTCACCTGGATAATGATTATTGTCCAGATCCATACTGCCTGCTAGTGAATATCCAAACGTCTTGAGGCCAACATCATTAATATCTTCTGCTGACAAAGTCTAGCAAAGAAATAAAAAACCTAGAGTTATTTTATCACACACATTTGATGCTTTTGGTTACATATGATTAGATATTTATGGAATTTTTTTGTCATTATTCCTTTATACTATTTTTTAACTTATTTTTGTAAATAGATGAGGGATAAAGACACTTAAGTTCATGTTACTAAAATAAAATCATCTGCATAATAAGTTGTATTCACAGACTTTGGAAAAGATCAAAAGGTTTTTTTGCCCATCCTAGCATATCTAGAACTTTGGGGGGGGGGAGCAGATAACGAGTCCCTTTAAAGGTGGATTGATGAATAATGTTCTTTTAAGCACAATTTAATTAAATAAATAATTATTTAGTGCAGTGGTACCTTTAGTATAAAAACAGTATGGTTAAAGGGAATACATATTATTGTATACAAGATAATAGATAAGATATAAGATAAAACACATCGCATAAAACGGTAGTGCCATGCAAACGTGTTTTCTTGTTATATACATTACATTTGAGCCATGTATGTAGGGTTAATTGGAGGAGGGAGCAAGAAAAAATTTGGTTGGGAGAATGCCTCCTTCCATGTAGTGGCGCCACTGGTCATGTAACGGTAAAAGATAGTGTATGCAATTTTTTCAGCTAATGACTGGGTACTGTCATTTCTAAAGTTTAATTTGATAGATTGTGTATTCCTATTAATTTGAGGTTATAGTTTATCATATGTCAGTTTTGTGTTTGTGTATGCTTTGAGCTACAATAATCACATTATACTTCTATGGAAACATGTAGTACTATATAAAATTTTAAAACAAATATGATCCTTGATTTACGTAAATCAATTGGACTTCTGTGTCGTTGTATACTGTTTTTATTCGTGCCAGCCATAAAAATTAGAATAGCTTCTGTGTAACAAAATAATAATATTAATGAATTTATTATATTCAAAATTCTTAATTAGGATTTGTCGGCAAAGTTGCAAAAATACGGTTACTATTTGTGATTATATTAACTCTATTTGTTTTTCCAGTTATATGTTTTGTATAATTTAAATCTCATGCTATTTTTACAATTAGTATTGTAGATTCTATAAAACACTCAGAATCTCAAAATAAATAACATTATGCATGTGGAAACCATGCACTGAAAGTATTTTTATGTTTCCGTGAAATGTAATAATCAGATAATCTTTACCTGAGAAGGCTCTTTTCTAACTCCATAGTGACTGCCGAGGTAAATAAAAACAATTCCACGTTCATTTTTCCCAGCATACGGTGCCCCCACAGCAAAATCTACATTGTGTTTTTACAAAAAAAATATATTGTTAATGTTTGGTCAACCGATTTTAATTTTACTATTATTATTTTCTTTTTACAATGACTTCAATCAAATATATTCACTTTCTACCACAGTTTAGTTAAGATCAATTTATGGTTTTTTAATGAAGTGCTGTGTGCATATAATTTGAACACTAAGGTTTTTTTTACAGTGGTTAATTTCTTAACATGTGCGATAAACATACTCAAACTTAAAACGGTTAGAAAAAATTCTTCACCACGATGGCTCAGGAAGTTTTGAATGTGGCGCTCCAGTAACGTCTAAAAATACAACTTGGGAAATAAACATAGTTGATTAGACTTTTAAACAATTTAACAAGAATTGGAGATATTAATTTGCGCCAATGAGTTTTATTCTAATTTTTCTGCAGTATTATTTTTTCTGAAAATAAAGTGAAAAAAAAAATCAAACGAGTTCATGTGTGTGTGTATGTATTTATATATCTTATACTTATATATATTGCGAACCGTGGTGTCTGTCCAAGCGTTCGTCTGTCTCCCGTTTGAAAAGCTGCCCACGCAGGCAAAGCTCAACATTCTCTTTTGAAATGACGGGAGATCAGACATGGATAGTGTTGATGCCCAATTTTATTTCGAAGCAGAATATTCTACACTTAATTGTTGGGAATTAATCACACTATCATTCACATTTTAAAATATGACGTAACTTAAAGAATAAAAATGTAGATTTACCGTATGTTATTGTTGAGCGGCTCTTAGCATGACTGAAATGCTCAACAATTATATTTCGCGGTCGGCGGTATAAGTAGCTCAATGCTTTAACTCTGAGTGAAACCAAGAGTGTAACAATTAACCTTTTTAAGGTCCATGAAATAATTTAAACTTTTCCGTCACCGGGTACGGGTAGGTAACTGCCCCAGCTAAGTAGACGTTGCTTGAATTCATTGCTTAATGCCGCTAGCTTCAGAATTAACATATGTTGTAAAATTTGGGAAAGATAAAGTAAGAATCTGCTGACCGTGGTAGCTAGGTACTCACGTTGCAAGCGCTTAGTTCAACGTTCGCTAATGCATTTGGTTGCTTACGTTTTGGGGTTACTTCTACTAGCAGCAAATAATGGCGAAGTGCAGGTTATTTTGAAAGTCATTTTGAAGCAGATTTTACATTTTTGACAATCAAACTTTGCAATACTGTGCAAACTTTCTCTTTCACATTCATACCACTTACAAGAAGAAAACTGAGATAATTTTTTTTTACTGCTGGACAACTATTGGGGGTACTGAAAGATTCTGCAAATTTCTGAAAACTCCACCTGGCTATAAAATTAAAAATACACAAAATGTGTGAATAAAACTATGAAGAACCTGTTCAAGAGGTGCATAATATTCATGATAAAGCAAAGCATTTGCCACTTTTAAACCTGGTGAAAAGTAATAAACATGCATATTTTTATACAATTGAACAAACTGTCTAAAAAGAAGTCCCTCAGTGGAACAGCGGGAAGTTTACGGACTTACAATGCTAAGGTCCAGGATTCGATTCCCCGGAATAGCCCAGCAGATAGCCCAATGTGGTTTTGTTATAAGACAAACAAAAACCTAAAAAGAAAATACTGCAGTAGTCTTGTTTCTTATTTTTCTTTTTTTTTAGTTTGGCTACGAGACTACCATTTTGTTTGATTTCTATGTTAAAAGGAGGATCTATGCATGACATATTTGTTTGTTTGTTGAATTTCGCACCACGTTATATAAGGTTTATCTGCGCATAACAATTCCTCATTTTGAACTAGTGAGAAGGCAGCTATTCAACAGCATCCTCCTCCAACTTTTGAGCTTTCTTCTTTTATTAAATAGTGTGATTTGACCATTCGTCTTCTGATATTCTCTGTCAGGACATACACATCTTTTATCATCACTCACCAGATCACACACGCAATTTGATGTTCCCCACCATGTCATTCATGTCTGGCTGAGTGTGATCTAGTGTTGTTTGGCGTACCCAGACTGTGAATTTGGAAGTACATGGTTTGCAGCCCTTTGTGATCGTGAGCATGTTACAAGAGTTATGGCTATATCACACTATTTGGTGAAATAAGAGTAGTACAAACGTTGGTGGTGGGTGTTGTTGAATAACTGCCTTTCCTATAGTTTATCAGTTCAAAATGAGGACGATAAAACCCCTATAACGTAAGCGCTTTTGAAAGGTGGATCTTTCATATTAAGACTTCTTGAACCTACGTGTTTTTCTGACATCACGAGTTCAAAATTAGGGATGGTACGCACAGATAACCCTCATGTAGTGTTGTGTGAAAATACAAACAAATATTCAGGTCTTAGGATATTTCCTATCAAGTCACAAACTCGTGTCTTCTGATATTTTTCACAAATTTACATCTCTTGATATTATAAACCAGGTCATTTCCAACTGTACTATATCAGAAAACTGTGAACGTTCAAAGTGTGAGAGCAAAACACACTGTAAAACATTTAAAACACGCTGTATCTAAAACACAGATCTCCCCAAATTGATTTTCGAAAATATATAATGTTGTGTTAATAATAGTACCATTTGATTAAGTTGTGCGCTATGTATTTCCCAAAGGTTAGAAATGGGCTATTTAAATATCATCATTGACGATGATTAAATCCCTCAAAATATTTTAACACAAAGTCGTTTTTCTTTTGTGGTATTCTTATTCAATGTAAATATATGTTGCAAATTTTCAATTGTTTTAATTTTCCTTAATTTTTGTTGCACATCTTAGAAGAAATGTAACTATGGATAAGTAATACAATAGTGAATATTTTCGAGTAGAATAAAATGAATAGTAGAGAGAATAATGTACATTCTTAAATGTATATTATATATGTATGTATTGCATGCTCACACAACATTTACAGAGAGCTGAATATATTAAAACAAATCACAAAGTCCTGTGACCATGAAAGCTGGTATAAGGTCGTAGTCGAACAGACGGTATCAGAACTACATTTTGACATTGTTTGGCCTTTTGTAGGTAGTGTAACGGCACCGAAAACTGATCACTTTTGGATAGGATACGTAACAGCCTCTTCTGACGCAAAATATTCATACACTTAAATCATATAGATGTGTTCAGGTCATGGATTTAGAATTTTTAAGATGACAATATCCATTGTACTTAATATTATTGGAAAACAAAGGAATATGAATCAAACTGGGCCAACGAGGCCATCCAGAGAGAGACCTGCAATAAATCATACTCAGATGTCTTTTAATAGGTGAGAATCTGCGAACACAAAGGCCAGCGGGAAAAGCCGTCCAGGCGTTCAAGGCAACAGGACGAAACATAATCAAGACGGACTTCATTTTGAAAAGCAACACAAATGACGTGTACACAAGCTAATTTCCATGGCATGTTCATTCAACCATCAAAGACCTCAAGCAGTTGGAGAACGAAACGGGAATTCAAGCTTTTCCACATGAAGACATAATGTTCAAACTGTCGGATGCAGCGCCTATGGAGTCTGTGCGATCGGGCTGTTGAAACAGGTGCTGGGAAATTGTCGCACTCGTACACTAGATAGTCTATGGAAAGTTTGTTTGTTTGTTTTGAATTTTGCGCAAAGCCACACGAGAGATATCTGCGCTAGCCATCCCTAATTTAGCAGTGTAAGACTAGAGAGAAGGCAGCTAGTCATCACCACCAACCGCCAACTCTTGGGCTACTATTTTACCAACGAATCACTATTGACCGTCACATTATAACGCCCCCACGGCTGAATATGCGAGCTTGTTTGGTGGGACGTGGATTCGAACCCGCGACCCGCAGATTGCAAGTCGAGCGCCCTAACCACCGACTACGGAAAGTCCACGGAGGAGGAGTATAGTTTGAACATGATAGCCTTATGAAGCAACCTTTTACAATGGAAAGTTAACGATGTGGTGAGGCTCCAAAATCACTTTCATATAAAGTACTAAATCTCTGTGTTTGTATATCTTGCGCAGTTTTTACTGCATTAATTTACTTGTTGCATATGAAAAACGTTTAGATACAAGTAACACCAACATTTGAAGTACAATTTAACTTAGAGAATCCTCCAGAAAGGAACAAAGGGGGTTTAGAGATATTAAGGAAAATGGAAGTGTTTGAATAGGTAAATTGTTTTGGGAGAAGGTGTACTCATTTTGAAAATGTTTTCTTGGTTTGGTGTTTTATTTTAGAAAGATCTTGAAATGGAGAGCCTAACTGATTCCTAGAGAAAATTTCTGGGAGAGTTATTATATATATATATATATAGAGAGAGAGAGAGATTAATAAAAATACATAATTTATTTTTTCGTGTCTAGGTCAATGCTCAGTGTGAGTTATGATATTTTCCTTGCTGCAAGATTATTTTACAAAACTAATGTCCAAATAAAGGATAGGAAACAAGAGTTTGGTTTTAATTAATTCATTTTCGTTCTCGTACAGTATTTATGCAAAAAGCTTACCTGAAATTCGGATTAATTGTTTAACTTTTCCTTTTTATCCAATAACTTTGCAAAATCTATGCTCAAATATGTTGATATGCATATTGCTTACCTGTATAACTTGCTTCCTTATAAAGGTCTAATTAAAGAATAATTATTACAGTTTATGTATCTTTCGTTTATTTAACATACAAAATATACAAAAATACGAGAATTCAATCCAAAATCACTTCAGCAAGAAAGAAAAAAAATCTGCTTTGTCTAAAACAATAAGTGACATCTCATAAATACAGCAAAATAAAGCAACTTGGCATTAATCACATTGCATCATTTTACTCATGGGATGTAAAACTGAACTTACATTCAACTTGGTTCCTAATTCACCAAAGAATAATTACTGAATTACAACGAACAAAATGTGATGTGGTAAATTAATTTGCAGTGGAACTTTAACTTGTAAAACACAGTGATAAAAGTAAACATACCCTCGTAACTGTCTCCATCTACGTCACCCAACGAGGCCAGAGCTAGTCCAAAACGGCCCTTTGAGTCGGTCCCTTCCAAATGGTCCTTCTGAAGGAACTTATGCTGAAATAATTATTAATGTATAATGAAATTTTGAAATCATAAACACACACACAAAAGAGGGTTTATTAATTAGCAGTTCATAAGTCCTAAAATCAGAAATGTTGGCACACAAGGTGTTTGCTAATTATGTTCTCGGATTAAAAATGTTCTAGTTATACATAATAGCTTACATATAGGCTTTCCAACCCTACTTTCACTGTTTATTTAAGCAGACTGAGTGCACGAGATAATTTCAAGTGGCGCTTTCAGGTCGCCCTAATACCAGCTGTTAAGTCTTTATGTGGTGGGGAAATCAGGGTGTATGTATCCAATACATTATTAAACTTAAGATGCGCGATGCTTCCTTAATTGTTTCATCTACAATACATACTTTGTAGTCTGTGTTAACATACAGTTTAATACGTGTTTTATATCAACATTAAAAGCAACGAATAAGAACTTAAACCTAAGAGGGTAATTTACCCAATCAGTGAAGTAATCCGGTAATCTAACGTGACCCTTCTTTATACAACAGGGAGTTTGTACTGTTTACTCTACGATAAGTTTCTACTACATTTTCTAGAATAAAACATAACAAAAAATAACTAAAAATAAAACAGAAGGGAAGATAAACATGGACTACAAAAAACAAAACAAAAAACAATGGCATAGCTGTTTAGTAAAGATCTTGAAATCTTAAAAATACAAAAAATAAATTTTCTCTCTAATATTCAATAAAAGTAAAATGTGTATATTGTCATACATCAGTTGCCTGGTAGTATACATAGACTCTGCCTTTTTCGTAAGTTCCATCGTTGGCCGACAGGTTACTGTGTAAAGGCGCTCCAACAATAATGTCATCTAAACTGCCAGAAAAAAAAAATTGTTAGTTTGTATGAAGTTTACTAAGCTAATGACAAAGACTTAGTTATTAGATCTTCTATTTTGTGTAAAAATCTGTATACACATACACACACACACATATATATATATATATGTGTGTGTGTGTGTGTGTGTGTGTGTATATGTGTGTGTAAATTCGATAAATAAAAATTTGTTGAAAATATTTTATAATACTTTGTTTATTCTTATCGTTATGTTCTTTCCATTTCTTAAAGAAATAAAAAAAGTAGTTAAAACTTTTCTAGTTTGATTGATCGTATGGATACAGTAAATTAAATGCCTAAAGAAACACGAGTTACCAACACTAATGGTCATTATTTTATTATTGTTATTACTTTATTGTTCAGGGCTGTAAATGTTACCGGTTTAGTTTCCGACATACCCATCTCCATTGATATCCGAGATGCACACGGCGTAACCAAAGTAAGTACCTATATCTTCTGTTGTTATGTTCTGCACATTTCGTAATTCGGAACTGAAGATTACAACCTGTTGAGAAAGCTTCGTTAAATTAGTTCAGTCAAAACGTAGTAATTTTCGTGAAGTTGAAATTTGTAATGTTTCTTAAAATACTTCAGGTAAGGTACGTTTCAACTTCGAATCTAGAATGTCAAAGTTACCTAAAATACCAATGAAACAAGGCCTAACGAAACCAACCTTAGGCTATAATTGAAAGATATTAGTCCTACGCCTCTAAGCTATATAAAAGATATTTTAAATGAAGAAGCGGTAAGATAAAAAACATTCTTTAAATAAAATTCTCCGTCGTTTTTTGAAATTACCACAGTCAAATATTTGTATTTCAAGGACACAATAGACAAAATGGCTTTTCTTCCGTTTATTAACCCTCACCATACTGTAAAAGATTTAACTACCTGAATAAGAACTGGAGGAAAAAAGTAAAATTTTTCCCCTGCTCAAAAGCAAACTATTTGGTCTTTAGAAGAAAACTATGTACATATATATTTATACATTATATAAAGGAAAATAGCTGCTTTTCTCTCGGGGCAAAGAATGTATTTACACAGCGCATATTAGCAAATAACAAGTATTCGACTAAGAATCTGGTAATATTCAAACACTATAGCATTACGCAATTTTAGTTTTTTACATAAAGCTTCTGCATTTGGACACAACAAACATAAGTTTGTTGTAGTAACCAGTTAAATCTACTTTATAAAACGACTAATATAACATGGCCGTCTCTCTTTCAGGTTTAATGCATAGTTTGTGTAAGTTTGAACTTATTGCTAATGTTCGTTCGGTTTGAATTTCGCATAAAGCTACTCGAGGTCTATATGCACTAGCCGTCCCTAATTTTTGAAGCCCTAATTTTTAGCCGTCCCTTAGGCTATAATTGGAAAATATTAGTCCTACGTCTTTAAGCTATAGAAAGGGTGTTTTAAATGAAGAAGCTGTAAGATAAAAAACATTCTTTAAATAAAATTCTCCGTCGTTTTTTGAAATCACCACAGTCAAATATTTGTATTTCAAGGACACAATGGACAAGGCAGATTGTGAGTCGAGTATCCCAACCACCAGACAATGCCAAGCTAAATTGCTAATGCTAAAACCTACAATCCTGTAGGACAAAAAATGACACTGTTTTCAGTAATGATTTTTAAGTTCTCGAGTTGATCCGTTACAAGTTTTCTGAAAGTTTAAAATAATTGAACCTCGTTATTAAAAGTATTTAGTCTCCTATTCTATAGCTTTAGTGGTTGTCTACACATTTCACGGAAACTGAATATGCCTCAATGTCTTTTTTTCAACGTGGTCCAACTGGGGCGATTGGCTACATATTTCATAAAAGGTGAAAAATGAAGATAGCTAATATACAATGTATTATGTACTTTACATCACTATGAGGGAAAGTTACGACAGTATTACAGTTTATACTACACTGAGCGAGTCTCCACTATGGCTTTCAATATTAATTCTATCACAGGCTGGTAGATATATACTGGTCACTTGAGTACACTTTTGTTTTACTTGTTATTTTACACATACAAATACGTGATGAAATACTAATATCAATTATTGTTACCAAAACTTACAAAATCACTTGATTTATAACAACAGTTATTTCATATCACCGTACTCAATACATTCAGTCTTTCTAAACTACAAAAGGTACTTCAAAACAGTTTTCCTAAATATTTTAAATATTATAGTTATTTTCTTTAAAACCGTTCACTGTCCGTGAACTTCGTAAACAGATAAGATAAAATTATCTAAATGGCATCAACTGTTTGGTGCATTTCCCCCTTCCTCATACTCACTTTCCCAGTAAGGTTACTCCGGGGCATGCCAACCACGATGTCTGCGTCACTGTCGCCTGTAAATTCTCCAGCCGCCAATGAATATCCTGCATAAATATGTAACAGTTGCAATGAAAATTTGATTTAACACAATAAAACCACACTGGTCATTCTCAATTACCAATAGACTGTTGTCATTCATTTTACTAACAAATACCTTCTACAAATACGTAACAGTTACGGTAAAAACCAATATAATGTAACAATACACACTAGCCATTCTCAGGTAACAATAGGTTGTCTTCAGGTATACTAACAAATACCTTCTACAAATACGTTACAGTTACGGTAAAAACCAATATAATATAAGAATACACACTAGTCATTCTCAGGTAATAATAAGTTGTCTTCCATTGTACTAACAAATACCTTCTACAAATACGTTACAGTTACGGTAAAAACCAATATAAGAATACACACTAGTCATTCTCAGGTAACAATAAGTTGTCTTCCATTGTACTAACAAATACCTTTTACAAATACGTAACAGTTACGGTAAAAACCAATATAATACAACAATACACACTAGCCATTCTCAGTAACAGTAACAGTTACGGTAAAAACCAATATAATACAACAATACACACTAGCCATTCTCTGTAACAGTAACAGTTACGGTAAAAACCAATATAATACAACAATACACACTAGCCATTCTCTGTAACAGTAACAGTTACGGTAAAAACCAATATAATACGACAATACACACTAGCCATTCTCAGGAAACAATAGGTTGTCATTCATTTTACTAACAAATACCTTCTACAAATATCTAACAGTTACGGTATAATACAATACACACTAGTCATTCTCAGATAATAATAGGTTGTCTTCCGTTGTACTAACAAATACCTTTTACAAATACGTAACAGTTGCAATAAAAACCAATATAATACAACAATACACACTAGTCATTCTCAGGTAACAATAAGTTGCCTTCCATTGCAATAACCATTATTTTATAAAGACGTGACACTGGAAGTAGAAATATAAGAAAACATATTAGAAACAATAGTTGTACTAAGAAACATATCTCAGTAAAAGCGTACCACTTGCAACAGAAACTAGTAGACACAGCAGGTTATCAACATATAAAGGTTACAAAAAACGATAGTACAAAAAAAGAGTTTTTAATAATCTAGCGAAGTAAGTGTATTTATATATCACCATAACAACTAAATCTCTGAAAACATACTCTGCTGTGTTCGTTGTCAAAGTAGTAATTGAACATGTAATGTAAACATGTGATATCATGCTGTTTTTATATCAAATTATTAATTGAAATTCTGTAAACATGATATCATGCTGTGTTTATATCAAAGTAGTAATTGAAATTCTGTAAACATATGATATCATGCTGTGTTCATATCAAAGCAGTAATTGAAATTCTGTAAACATATGATATCATGCTGTGTTCATATCAAAGCAGTAACTGAAATTCTGTCACTATATGATATCATGCTGTGTTCATATCAAAGCAGTAATTGAAATTCTGTCACTATATGATATCATGCTATATTTATATCAGAGTAATAACTGAAATTTTGTAAATATATAAAATCGTGCTGTGTTTTGTATATCAAAGTAGTATTTGAAATTCTGTAAACATGATATCATACTGTGTTCTATATATAACATCAATAACGACTGATATTCAATAGATATAGATATATATCCGTGTTCTTGGCATTACTGTCATTGCATACCATCATTAGCATAAGTTTTAGCTATTTCATTATGATATAGCAACAGTTAATACTCGTGTCTGGACAGCCAATAGGAATTAACTCTAATGCGCTGAAAAACTCACAACCTAAATAACTGTTGTCGTCTTCAGCCGGTCCTTCTGATGTCCATTCATCAACTAACTCTTGAACGTTCAGCCGTCGTGAAAACACTTGACCTGAAACAAAGATTGTTAGACTCATACATAAAAGAATTCCAAGAAGAAAAAACATGTTATAAAAAAATCGAACCTTAAAAAGTAATTTTGATACTGTTTTTGGTGTTCATTTTTCTTCACATTTCTTCTCTAATAAATTAGTAACATAAATGATGTGACATGTTTTTTGTTGTTTGTTTTTTTCAGGGGGAGCAGCACTTTAAAATATGTTATCTTTCAGCCTTATATTTAAAAAATAGAAATAAATCAATATATTATGAGATTTAAAATAGATTAAAACAGGTTTTAAAAAAATGCAAATATGGAGTATTAATTTTCTTTTAAATTCTACTTTCCAAACTATCCCCTGTAGTGACAGATTTACAACGCTAAAATCGGGGGTTTGGTTCCCCCTCAGTAGACACAGCCGATAGCCCGATGTGGCTTTGCTATGAAAAACACACATTTTCCACGTTTGTTGTTCATAAGAATGTTTTCAAAAATAAAACACACAAACTCTTGAAAACAACTAATTTTTTGCCTGAAAAATATATAAATTTATTTAGTTTTCTTCAGCACAGGAATAGTTTGGTTTATTGTGAATTTAGTCATCACCATCCACCGCCAACTCTTGGGCTACTTTTTACCAACGAGTAATGGAATTGAGTGTAGCGTTATAACGCCCCCGTAGCTGAAAGAGCGAGCATTTTTGGTGAGACGGGGATCAGAACCCGCAACCTTCAGATTGCGAGTCGAGCACCCTAACCACCTGGCTAAGCCAGGCCCTTCACCACATGAACAAATGAATATCGCCTTGCTCGTGAAATATAAATCTTCAATATTTCATGATCTAGGTTATTAAACGACCTTTAGTGAAATTTGAGTATATAATCTGCACTAACCAGCCCTAAATTACCAAGTGACCTTTACTTAACAACCTAGTAGATTAATAAATTATCTTTATTGACTAATAAAGTAAATCACTAAGTGCTTTTCACTGACCAGTCCAGCAAGTTATTTAATGATCTTTACTGATCAACCTAGTAGATTACTAAATGATCTTTACTGACCATCCCAATAAGTTATTAAATGATCTTCACTGACCAGTCCAGTAAATCATTAAATAATATTTACTGATCAGCCTAGTAGATTAGTAAGTTATCTTTACTGACCAACCCAGTAAATTTCTAAATAATCTTTATTAACCAACCGAGTCTATCACTAAATTATTTTACTGACCATTTCAGTAAGTTATTAAATGATCTTTACGAATCAACCTAGTAGATTACTAAATGAACTTCACTGACCAGTCCAGTAGAATATTAAATTATCTTCATTGACCAGTCCAGTAAATTATTAAATTATCTTTACTGTTTAACCTAGTAGATTACTAAACGATCTTTACTGACCAGTCCAGTAAGTTATTAAATGATCTTTACTGACCAGTCCCGTAAGTTATTAAATGATCTTAATTGACCAGTCCAGTAGATTACTAAATGATCTTTACTGACCAGCCCAGTAAGTTATTAAATGATCTTCACTGACCAGCCCAGTAAGTTATTAAATGATCTTCACTGACCAGTCCAGTAAGTTATTAAATGATCTTTACTGACCAGCTCAGTAAGTTATTAAATGATCTTCACTGACCAGTCCAGTAAATTATTAAATGATCTTTATTGATCATCTTAGTAGATTACTAAATTATACTTACTTGCTAATCCGGCAGATTACTAAACTCAATAGATTATCACTACTCTAAAAGATCAGAACAGTAGGTCACATTTAATTACTTCTTCAGTATTCTAACATACGATATTTATACATTATCATGCGATGATGTTATGAAAACGCTGATTACCACATAGCTTTTCATCTCATTCATCTAGTAGGTTACCACATGATCTCCGTTACCTCATCAAATTTCATTTGAACAAGCAAATAAATAAGAAAAGCTGCGCTGTTCCTACACAAACAGATAATCGACGTCAGTCAGCCTGTGGGAATATTTCATCGGCATAATGACGCAAGAGAACGAGCTAAAAACAAATGTTAACTCTTTTGAGCCTTCGGATTAATCATACAGCAAAGTGCTCGTGATCTTACATACTTGCCTACAGGAGCGATTTTTTTTTCTTCATTTAATTTTAAAGTAAGACTGCTGTACAAGATAATGAATAGAGGAAATTGAATAAGAAGTACATGCAGGCAGCGAATAAGCGTATTTATTGCTTTTACGATGATATAAAAACTGACAGCATCAAAAGTTATAAGGCTACTCATTTTATAAATAGATTTTAAGTGTCGCAAACGAAACCTGAAATAAAATTCTGTTCTACAGATAAAAGTAGCTAAATGTGTGTAGCACAATTAAGCGCTTATGGCACACACACACACACACAAGCAAACATTCATGTGACACAACATGACACCGTAATACTGTATACTTATTGCACAATATAACGTTGTAACACGATACGCTTATTGCACAATATAACGTTGTAACACGATACGCTTATTGCACAATATAACGTTGTAACACGATACGCTTATTGCACAATATAACGTTGTAACACGATACGCTTATTGCACAATATAACGTTGTAACACGATACGCTTATTGCACAATATAACGTTGTAACACGATACGCTTATTAACGATGTAACACCGTAATACAGTACGTTTATAAAAAATATATACAACACGTGACACAGTACGTTTGTTACACAACGCAACACCTTTAGGCAAGTACGCTTGTAAATGATATAGCACCATAAGACAAACAATATGCTTATAAACGATATAGCACGTTACACAAAATGTTTGTGACACGGCGTAACTCCGTAACACAGTTAAATATTTCAAAACAATACACATCACTGGTAAATGATGTACCATCTTAGATGTATACATCTTGACCAGTCACTACACTTATAGGAAAATATTCATACTAATTTACCAAAGCCATAAGAGTGGCCAATAGAATAACAGAAAAAAAGACAAGTGTAATATAATTGGTTACTATTGGTATAAAATAAAACATGGGTTAGGTTATGAGGGTATGGAGAATAGAATAGGCAAGCCAAGAAAGTAACACGAAGAAAGAACTCTTTAAGTCGACTAAAGTGGCATTTTCTGATTGTAAAAAGAAAAAACACAGAGTAGGAAGAAAAAACGAGCAGACGTTCATAGAAATAAAAACCAAAAACACATATTAGATAATAGAGATGAGTCAATCATGACAGTAAAAGGAAGTAAAACCAGACAAGTCAACAGAAATGTAACTAGAAGTAAAAAAGGTGTACTCCAACTCAGAAATATGCAGTTCAATACAGTACTGAAAAATGTTATTAGCAAACCGCACATCTTCATATTAAAAAGAACTATACACAGACACAGAAATACACAGATAGTCCTAATAACTATACGAGTAAACAACCTTTATATATAGTAGACAAGAAATACACAGATACTCATAATAACTATACAAGTAAACAATCTTTATATATAGTAGACAAGAAATACACACATACTCATAATAACTAGACAAGTAAACCTTTATATATAGTAGACAAGAAATACACAGATACTCATAATAACTATACAAGTAAATCATAAGACTC